TCGCTTTTCACAAGACTGGCTTCTTTGTGTTCTGCTTGCCCTCTGAATGCCGATGGCGTTGTTGGCGCCGGTCGGGGTAGGTGCTGTGCAGAGTAAAAGCGAAAAAGAAGCCCAAGGGGTATAAAGTACCATTTTAAAAAGGTACCAAGGGACCCTGTGAGTCTGTGAGTATTTATTTTTGTCTTAAGCTCTTGTCAGCTCACCGTTCATTGGTCAGTCGACTGCAGGTTTCACAGCACCGTGCGATCCAAGGAAGAAGCCGGCGGCGGCCAACAATCAGAAAAACAAGGCGACCGCGGCGTTCGCTTTGGGCCTGCGATTTTGAGTTCTGCTTGTAGCAACACGTACGTTATATTTCAACATATTCCGAAGCTTATGCAAATGTGTTTCGCTGGCTTAGTCTAAGTGGATTGTTGCCGCTGGTCTTCAATTCTGGTATTCTCATCAGCCCGGCTTCGAGAATCCGGTTGCTACGTTGACCCCGCTGTTAGTGGCCTTTCATGGCGCGAGTTGCCTGGCCAGATTTGTCAACGGTTGCAACTAATTTTTGAATGGGGCTGAAGAAGCATTGGCCAGCCATTCGTGTGCCCGATTTGGAATCATTGCAATGCAATGTTGTTGTATTTTGCCTGCTTGGGTTTCCATCAGCATCGTCCCGTCTACAAAACCAAAGCTGATGTTTCTTGAACGATGTTATGTCCAATCTGCAATATAATTCAGCTTTACTCCAGGTCAACATCAGTTTCTGTTCTAATTTAATCGAGATCTTTTTGGGAAAGGAAATCATTTTGATATTTTATTTGTTCAATGATTGTTTGATGGAACTATGTCCCTGTACGTTATGATTAAGTTCTTTCAACATGAACTTAATTTGTCATTCTACATAGATATAAGCAATTGTGATATATGTGTGTTTCTTCTCCGCAAAGATCCTTGGCTAAAATCTGAATCCTACTTGGTATAAGGAGCCTTGTAAGGAGCCTTGTTTAGATCGTTATAATGTGCTTTGTTAGGAGCCTCAAAAGTGGCTTTTTCAGGAGTTCTCAAACGAGCCTTACAAGGAGCTTCCAAGAGAGCCTTATAAGAAGCCTTGCAACGAACCTTGTAAGGAGCCTTGTGAGTTTCTCTTTCTGTATAATCTAGACGAGTTGCTGACTGCGCTGCTAGAATTAGAATAGTTCTGCAAAGGATGTCACTGTCAGCTCGTAACAAAGCAAGGCGTGTGCATGTATGGTCACACCTTTAGCTTGAAGATACGGGATCAAATCTCAATGAAGCTTAAGGAATACAACAAACATGTGAAACAGAACAATAAGCGAGTTAACACTAAAACACAAATTGACACTTCGAACCATCCAGACTTGAACCACTCAGATTTCCGCCGTGGTCTTCGCGTAATATTTTTAGTCCCTAGTCTCGCCCGGCACGTCGAGACCTGGCACCGTAGTCTTCCAGAAGTTTTCTTCTGGTCTTGCCCGGCACGCCGGGTCCCGTTGAGCCGTAGATGGCCACTCGTAGGTTTCCTTCCCCTCTCGCCTGGCGTGTTTTTTTTGGCGTCGTAGTCCAGTCTCGCGCCATAGCTTTCTGGTGTTCTGGACTATGACGCGCTGGGCGATAGGAAGACTATGCCAGGGCCCACGGGCGAGACTAGGGTTCCTCATGGAGGAATTGTGGGACGACAGGTGGTTACCCCAGTAGTCAATAGGATTTCATCCATCCCAACTGGTGCCGATCGAGTGGCTCAGCATCTCTGTCTTAAATTACTCATGCGCATGGGTTCCCTTTTGGACGGGGCCTATCCTTAAGGATTCCCTTTACAAGTATGCCAACTTGGTGCTCAGTAGGGGTTGACCCAGGGTGTCGGGAATAAACCTAGGGATTCCATTAAAGGACACCACGAGGGATGGTGGGGTCATTCCCTCCTGCCCTTCTGAGCGCCAGCAAGCAAACTTGTCAGCGGCCTGACTCAGCCCACACTTTCCAGCCAGGACTATCGCCGTGCCAAGGCGGAGATCAAAGAGTGGCTGAGCTGAGCGATTCGGCGAGCGAGCGACCACAATAACAGCCGAAAAAGAGACAGCCACGACAGCAATGCAAGCATAATGACACGCATGAGAACAAGCAACAGAACAGCCAATACAACCGACAGCACAACAAATGATCATGACAACAAGCATACGTAACAGCAACCACAACAATAGGCAGGGTTCGTCCCCAACTCCACTGGTGGATTCATCCTGGCAGTTACACATAGTTTGATGGCGAAGGAACGGATGCCTTCATGCACAACTTTGCCGTTTGGCTGAGGGATCATTGCTAATGTGGGTGTCTATTATGCATATAGTATAATATATATATATATATACATATTGTATAATATACGTACATATATACATTATACACATATGACTATCACTCAAGCACTACGGCATGCAGCATCGCTGCAATAGTAGGAAGGAGGCTGTTGAGCTGTTCATTGCTGGAGTTGGCAAGCGTGCAATGCAACTTGATTTGGTGACATGCAAGCAATTCCCCCCAAGGAAATTGAGTGCAGTATTCGTACCCTTGAAGTTGGGTCAAGGTCCAAAACAGTTTCGCCTCACCGTCTCGAGCCCGCAAGTGCAGGATGTCTCACCTTGTGTTTCACGCGGTTGAGCAAGCCGCTTCTAGGCAACTTGTTCGCAGGGCTGGGTCCAGGTATTGTGGGTCCCAAGCATTGAGCCTTTCAACTTCTAGCCTTTTGATGCGTCTCTTGTGCTGAGCGAGGCAATGATCTTCATTTCAAGCTGAGGGTTTGCGCACGCAAGACGCTGCATCTTCCGGATGGCGAACGTTTCATCGGGGAGATCGACTCAAAGCGATTGCTTATGGGCGAACAGCAGCCGGCGGAAGCCACATCACCCGCGTCAGCTAACACAATATAAAGATCTAGACAGATTGCTCCACTCTTTGAATTGCCCCACCCTTCGTGCATCGAACACAATGTAATTATGTTGTAATGGCACGTGCACGCAGATTGGGCTACACTTTTGACACATGTCTTGTTGAGATTTTGTCTTGCCTTGATTCGGTTTCATTGCAGCAAAAGCCTGCTTCAGCATGGTCAGCATTCGCGATCTGGGTTCAGGTCCTCCCCCCAATTACGAGAACAGTTGCCCCTGTGAAAGCATTTGCAGTTTCAGTGGTAGCTCCAGCATAGCCTTCCTTGATCCACTGTATCATACCAGGGGATAAGCTTCTCATGGTGGTGGGCAAGCGACCGTTTCCCCGCACTTGCCAGCTTCATTGTTTTGTGGAACGGGGTCTAAGACCGTATGAGCTCAATTTGTTCTAGCATGGCCCATACCAAAGCCTCTTGAGCCAAAGAAAGGCTTGTCGGGATGGGAGGACATGCTTGCCGGTCAGGACTCGCCAAAACCTCTTTCTTATCTCTTTCTCTGCCTTGTCACCAAATTCCAAGCCCTTTCTGTCATTCCGTCATGTCTATCTGAGGAATGCCGCTTGGCTGGAAGCCCTTGGGAGCCAGGGCATGGGCATGGGTTCCAAAACGCGGAGGCAAGACTAAGCTAAGCAAGCTTGCGACTATTGCGTTTGTAAGGTGTGCAAACAATGTTGGTACTGATTATCTACATGACATGGGTAAGAAAATGGTATGATTTCTTAGTTAATACCTGGCGATGTTCACTTGGGTAGAGAAACCAAGTAGGAGAGAGAGATGCTGGAAGCCGATCACGAGACTTTCTTCTGGCCCGGCCCTGCGATGCCTCGCTGCCTGTGGGTGCATCAGACCGTGGGTGAAAAACTCAGCGGTCGCGAATCGCGAGCGAGTCGATGGATGGGGGGTGTCCGAAGGGAATGTTATGGGTGTGTTTCTGGACATGTGGGGCTGTTTTCTTTCACGGGACCCTTTCCAGGTTAGTTTCAATTGAAAAGGACAAGGAAAGCCACAATTGTGGGGGCCACCCTATTTTGACAACCCGGATGTGTCGCAGAGATACGAACCGAAGGATTTGGACGCGCCCCTGCAAAGTTCCCGGCAACCAGAACAAATTTGAGAGGAACTGAAGGGTGCTGGAAATACGCTGTTTTGCCAGACCAATGTTGCGGCGAGCGGTTCGCCAGTTGACGAGTTGGTGCGCATGGCCAGCAGTCTTCGGTTTCACCTCACACACTGGACATACTTTAAACGCCTCAAATCACGCACACAGACACGCACATCCTACGCTCGTGTTCGCATACCCAGAGAAGGAGATAATGTTCTGGCAGACGCCTTGTCAGATGGCTGTTCTCTGCAACCACTTTAAAGGTTTTGACCACTCAAGGCCTAACTGAATCTTCAAAACCTTCAAGGTCCCAAGCTCTTGGATTTAGTTCAATGATTTTTCCGTGGGTTAATGTTGACCCAGGATTAATAAACCGGTCCCACTAGGGGGGTGTTCCCTCCCAAAGTGATGAATCCCCACTAACAGGGGACACCCCCCTATTAATCAACCAGGGGTTTATTAATCCGGGGTTAACATTATCATGGTTGCTAGCCACTGGGCGTCCCAGTTGCTATTCAAAAGTCCTCATGTATCGCACTGCATCCCTATGCCGACGGGAGACCAGTTTTTGAAGTGACCACTTTGTTGCGGGAGGGGCCCCCCAGGGATGGGGGGGTTGAAGGTCCGGGACCGCAAGCGATGAATGCAACTTGACGGGTTTCTCATGGCCAAAACCACAAGGGTATGGTTTCACCAACGGCCAAGTGAGTCACATGAACGCCCAAAACCCCGAACTGATACAAGTCTCAGTAGTGCCTATATGGGTGCGTCTTTTTCTGAGGCTACCCCTTGCTTGTGTTTTTTGGTTGATCGGAAAACCGAAAGCGAAAGGACGAGCGCAGCCTCTCTCTTTTTTTTTGCGGGTACCCGGAGGGGGAGAAAAAAAAAAAAAAACGACGAGCCAGCCGTATAAGAAACCTTCCTGACCTTGGGCGCAACCCTGAGACCGCCAGACAGGCGCCCTGCGACGAGGAGACCAGCCGCGGCCTGGGCTGGGGACCCGCAAGACCCTCTGCACCCAGGGGCCACGTGTCTGGGGAGATGAAGGTTAGACGGCGGGTCAAAAATGGAACCGGCCCCAACCCAAAATGGAGCTGAAGGGTAAGGAGCCCAAAGTTTGGGCCAAAGTTGAAATGGAGCCCAAAATGGAACCAAGGACTAGAACCTGCGGTCCCCAGCTGGTTGAATTTGACCCATACCCAGATATCGTCAGACCAGAAATCGGTGCGACGGCGCTACTCGTTACATAGTCTTTGAGACACTAAATTACTTGACAGAGAGTAACAGATAACTCCACTAGTGACTTAATTCCACTATGTGTGTATCAACTGTTGTGGAAAAAATGGATAGGACTCAATAGGTACCTGGTTTACTCATTGGACTCATGGTATGGTTAGGACCGAACCTGCCAGATTCGAAGGAGCATGCAGACCGCCCGACAAACCGCCCCTTTGAGGATGTCGACTTGTCCAAGACCCCATTCATTGTCCAAGACCCCAAAACCAATTTATTTATTTTTTTATTTTTTTTGGCGTTCTTCAGTTACTTCACATTTACCTTTGAGGCTTACAAGCTTCGTCTTCGATTCGGCCTGACCCGACATTTACATTCGAAGATGGTCCCGTTTTTGGTCGAAATGCCGGAGAGTTCATCTTTGGTACAAGGGTATGGTGGGCTGTTGTCACATGGGTTCTTTGTGAAACGTGTGGCGCAACCCGAAATGTCTACCAACTTTACATTCCTGTGTCGTTCTCAAGCTTCTGAGGGCTGGGAAGCTGACACGAAGCGAGCCCTTCTTGTCGAGGACGCTTGATATTCACTCTCAATATGAGGATGCTGAAGAGAGCGCTGCAAATGTTGCGCCTCTTTTGTCTAGTCATGAATAGTCCACATCTGCATGGGTGAGCCTCGCAGTACTGCGTTTTGGACTTGGCGACTTAGCTGGCTACCAAGTTATCCTTCATCGCCGGGCGTTTTTACCCGCTTTTTTTGTTTTTTTGCTGGGGGGGAAGGGTTACCTTTAGACCACAAACAAGATGCCCTGATGTTCAGAACAGCCAATACCTGAAAGCATCATAGAGAAGATCCTCACCCAGCCAGTGGACACACTTTACACTTTTTTCCTCTCCCTTTTTACGAGTGGTGGACCAAAAAGTGTACACTTTTGTTTGGCTGGTCACTGCCCAAGTGAGGATCCCCCCATGTTTCGGAGGAAAAACGCAGAACCTCCGCCAACAAACGCCTCCGAGGCCGAGATCATGAGATCCTGCAGCTTTTGAGGCAGCTTTTGGAGGCAGCGATTGATCTGGACCTCGTGTTTTGGGAGGGGAAAAATGGATTATTCTAGGGGTTGATTCCCCATGATTTTCAAAAACCACCTGTTTCCCAGGGTGTTGGGTGGTTTTGTAGAAAGAAGGATGCCTGGAGAGAATGGGGGAAGGTGCCCCTAGAATTATGATGATCTCACTTGCCCAAAGCGAGTCGAACGGATCTGACCTTTTGGTTTCCCGTTTTGGCGATCCGACTGACTTTTGAAGATTCGGCCGGATCAAAACCCGAGTGCCAGTTGTAGAAATCGCCTGGGGAGACGATTCTGAGGGGTCCCAACCAACCATTTTATTCGAGGCAATGCGTTGCTTGAAGGGGTTCCCCCAAAATTGATTCTAAAGAAAACCAAAAGAGTTGCGCGATTGTCCCCGGGTTGATTAGAACATTCTGATGCGAAGCATCCTTCAAAGAGTCTCGTCGCACGTTTGTGTTAGACTTGACAGGAAGTTATGAATTCTAAGCTGCACGCTTCAACATGTGAGAAGCGAAGTCCAGTTTCTTTTGGCCAACATTATTTGCATGTTCGAGCATCACATGTGGAGAAGGTCTGGAGAATATCTATAATATATATATATATATATACAATTATTTGCAGGTTTTTCTTCATCCATTATGACATATTAACTATGATCAAGCCATGATTTGTTTGAGACATGGACACACGCCCATGAAGGGGGTTGTTTGGTGGGGTCTGTCTCTGCGCCTATCTGCATGGCCACCATGCATGTTCCATGTACTTCCATGTGCTACTGTGGATGGACGAAATCCGTTCGCACCACTTTGAAACCACGGTTGAAACCATGACGTTTGTTGGTGTTTAGAAGGGAATCGAATCATTCCAGGGTTTCCTGGGTGGTGCGAAGTGGATTTCGTCCGTCCACAGTATGAGCACCGCAGGGACAAAGAGAGGCCCGTGGCTTGGCTTGCACAGCGCGGCGGCATCCAGGCGTGAGTATGTTTCAGCTATTTGTGGGGTGGCTTGAAAGGGAGACCAAAAAGAGAAGCACCGCTTTGCGAGGCGTGATGTGTTTGTTATTTTTTTGAGGAGCCATTGCGAGTTGCATTTTGCGGTCGCTTTGAGCCAAATCCTGGCCTTGGCTCTTTCGGGGCATAGGAAACCGGAAACAAATCCACCCAAAGGTCTTTATGTTGGCCTGTGGCCGCTGAGGCAAAGATCGAAAACGGTCAAGTTGTGCTTAGTTATTTGATCCTTGGCTGTGCGTTGACAGTGTTGCCAAGACATTGGCATGCGGAATCCCGATTCTTGTTTAGGGCGCCGTCATCGTGTTTTGGGATGCACTAGGGTATTCGTGAAAGCATGCATGAACTGAACTCCCAGCTGCAAAGCCCACGGGCGACAGGGTTGGGCAACTAAGCAAGGTGCCTGTGGTTTTTTTGACGGGGTAGCAGGAAGAGTTTGTTGGAACTACCAGGCGGCGCAACTGCAAGTTTTGCAGGCAAGATTTCTTTGACTGGATGCGACCTTTGTATGTCACGCCTGAAACATATCAGTATGCAGTCAAAACTGGCGCCCACCGCAACTCTGGATGGTGTTGTTGCTCCACTGAGAGAACCGACATGTTGTTTTGTTTGCACGAGTTGCTTTTCACCAAAGGCCACTTGCAGTGAAGGCAGGAAGACACAGAAGCACGTCGTCTTTTCAGAGAGGGGTCCAACTACCCAATTTCCAACAATCATACAAGTTGACTGGGGGGCCCTTTCCGAGAGAACTGCTGTGGTATTTGTTTCCAAAGCCCTTCTGGCAGCTTCCATGATACTTGTTGGAAAGAGAGTGTCTTTCTTTGTGACAGGATTTTCAAACTGTTTGCTACAGAATCCCTCGTAGGGATCCTACACTGTCGCTGCGGTAGTTTTTTTTGCGCTGCCAACTTCATGACTTTAGGCTTGGTTTAGGAAGACAGTTCTGACGCTGGGCCACAGACACCATGGAGCCTACTTGGACTTGTTTCTGCTCATAAATGCACGACCACTGCAAGAATGACGTCAAAGCGACCGGAAAAATGGTTCCCACACTTCAGCTGCCTTTATGACAAGCACTGATAAGTAGTTCAACTAAAACATCACGCTCAGTCTGCGCTTTTTTTTGCTTATACCCTTTTCAGGTTGTTTCAAAGGGCAGCGAAAGGACAGCATGGGTGGCCCTCACATATCTACACAAACCCATATCCGGCGCCGTGGATTCTGATGTTACGGCTTTGTACTTTGGCTCTGGTGCCTCCGCCCTTGAACCTTAAAAGGATGACCTAGACCGTATCCGGCATGCACCGCAGCCCGTCTTAAGGAAGTGATGGGAACCCTGGATGAATAGGAGGCGTTTTCCCTTTTAGTGGAGATTCAGACCTGTTTTGGAGGGGGCCCCCCCCCCCTATTTACAAGACACAGTTCTGTTTCGCCGGAATCGAGTTTCTGACAGGAGCCCTCAAACGAATTAACAGCCGGAACCTGACGTCCGAGATCCCATCAGAAGGAGAATGGTCCAAACCAGGGCCCCTCGAAACATCGGGTTCTACTAGGTCCCCCAGCAGTGCCCTTGTACCTTTTTTGGGGGGAGGGTTCCCCTACTAAAATAGACCACAGAAAAAAGAATCGGGTACCCTTATTCTAACCTCTCTACTGGAGGACTTAGTCTATCTCGATTGGTGGGAGCTCCTATCTCAGGCCAAGCTGCTGCTCCAGCGCAGGCAAGAAATGATGGCGGATGTGGCTGGTCCGTTTTGACGGTCGTGTTTTGGTGCCGTTTTTGAAAAGCCAAACCACAGGGAAACCACCCTGTTTTCGGGAAGCTCACCTAGTTTGCATGATAAACCCACTAAGCTCAGATCGTTGGTCCAATTTATTGAGGTTCCAGATAGAACATGTCAAGAGAGTGAGCAAACATAGCATCTCGTCCAGACAAAACCTATGTGCGGTTGGGGCCTTGGTCCAAAAGCAGGGAACCAACAAGAAGCCATGCATGTTGGACATGCCAGTTAGTTTTTCAAGGCATACTTTGATTTTGTTGAACCAACCATGGCCGTGTTTGGGACTTGATTTTGAAGGTCCACGGAGTGGATTGAATGTGTTTGCTTGTTGCCGGTTTGGAGATTTTTGCTCCTGCGTGTTTCCTCAGGGGTCATTCTTTTGACGGTTTTGGGTTATCCAAGTCAGAAATGGGGGGTTGTATTTCTTTAACCCACCACTTAGGGGGTGACTTTGAGCATGGTAAAATCACGAGGCCAGTTCCGGAAACAGAAGACCCATCCTTGACGTTGCCCGCCGGGATCAATCTCAAGGGGCAGCTGCCCGGGATCGGTGCTCTGCACAAGGTGGAACCTAGAACCAATCTCTCGTGTAGTTTGCTGCTGCGATAGGGGAATGAGAAATGGAATGACCCTACACCATCCAACTGGTGGTTTGCTTCAGTGGGACTGTGTTCATTCCCACATTCCCTGAGCACCCCGTTGGGTTCCATGTTCGTTTGCAGAGTAATCAAGCCAAGCTGCACGCCGAGGTGAAGCCGGAAGTGAAAGACCAAGCAAACCAAGCATCGGACAAGGCGCAGGCGGGCAAAATGAAAAACCGAGATGGACCAAACCGTCCCCTTGAGTTGGTACAGGGAGCTTCCAGGCACCAGGAAAACACTTGTCATGTGGCTGTATGTCAAAACCAATGGGATCCCATTTTGGGGTAGGTTCACCACCCATTATGAACCTATTTTAGTGGGGATTGCGATGTTCGCTGGGGTTACGGCATTTTGACCCATGGCCATGCATATGTATATATAATGATGTGCGCAAGGTGAGCATGTTTTGCAGTCAGGAATTTCATGCCTCAAACTGGTCCGAGCTGTGCCCGGAGGATGGATCCGATTCAACTCGGAGTCCTTGGAACATCATGTTGGTCTTGAAGTGAAGGTCACACGGCTTAAGTTTACCGGTCTGGGGCAACTATACCCATTTTCCTCTGAAGGTCACCTGGCTTGGTTGCGTGACTTAGCTTGATTGAAACATATTCCCTTCAGACCGAAATTTCCGGCTGCCTGTGGATGTTGGTGGATCTGTGTTGTTGTTTTCAAGTCGCAGGAGCGTGTGTCTCTCCAAGCCATGTTGAGAAGGTGCGGCACCGGGCAGGTCAAAGTTCGCATGGGCATCGCATGTGACTCCGGGGCTTTGGCGTTGAGACGAACCTCGCAACTGTTACAAAGAACAAGCTTGAGTTACACTAAAACCTCGGGGAATCGGAGGGTAAGGGCCAATCCCAACCAGATTTTGCGGATATCCGCCTGGTTTTTGGTTCTTTACATTGGTTCGGGCAGGCCATAGTAGCTTTGGTATTTGGATTGTGAACCTTGGGTCTTGTTGAAACTGATTTCACAGGAGCCTCAGGCTTGGAGCTGCAACTTCCAGAGCAGACTTTGAGATGCGAGACTTCCGACCTGGTTTAGGTTTAGGGCTCAGGGTTGTTTAGGGTTTAGGGGATTGAGCCACTTTTTTGTTTCATTTGCAGTCTGCTTTTTTTTCCTTTCCAAGTGAGCAAGCAAGCAAGCATTGGCACGCGAGCCGGTGCAGGCATGCCAGGCAGATCTGGCGAGAGCACTCTTGTGAAGCTGAAATTCTCGTTCGAAATTATTATATGTTTACAGCCCACCATTCAGCAACCTCAACCCACCTTCAGCAGAGTCTTGTCCCATGCCAGCCCTGCCAAGCTCAAACATGCCCGAAAGTAAGGACGCAACAGCGGCACTAGATCCTTGTTTCCGTTGCCCACCTGAAGCCAAACCGAAGTCCGTCGTAGACCCAATCCTAAGACTCGCCCTGAAACCGCCATAAACCCAGCCCGAAGCCAAGCATAAACCCCACCTTAAGCTTAGTCCAATTCGCAGCTGAGCTTACCCAAACCAATATAAAATAATGAATCCTTCACACTAAACCAAGCCTAGCCCTAACTGACCAACAGCTTAAACTCATTACAGTGTCGCGTTGTCGACTCTGCACCTCATCTTGTTTCCAGTGGGTGAATCTGTTTGGTGAAGTGATGCATAGGTGACCCTTCCTTGCCCTTTGTTACCCCGCTGGGTTGGCAGACTAACAAGAGCCCCGGTCACCTCGCTAATTAGGCCAGAGAGCATCAACTGGTCACTGGCTCCTTGGTGGCCTTGGGCGTGAAGGACGGCCTCTGGTTGATGTTTGCCCCTGGATCCAGGGTTGGGCATTCATTGAAAACAGTTGGGTGTGGGTCAATCAGTACCTAAAATGGAACCCTGGTAAATGGAAGCATGGACTAAAACCTGCGGCCTTGGTGGTTTAATTTTGACCCATACCCAGTTTTTGCCAAACAAAAACAGTCAAGCCTTAGTTTCCTCTCAGGGGAAACCAGAAGGCGGTTGCTCAAATTGGTTTGATCATTGGCCAACAAAACGGATCAGTTGAAGAGAAGCTATGGGTGGGTGTGCTTGTGTTGTCCTCGCTCTTTGAGATTGGACAATTTTGGCTGCATTGTGCCGTTTACGATCTCAGTGTCTGTTTTGAGATCCCGCTAAAGTGTAGAGACAACCAAAAGACATAATTTCTAGAGGAATTGATCCCTAGTTTTGCGAAAGACATTGCCAGACAAAACAGCTACTCAGTGACGGCCAGCCGTCAACCAAAGGCGCTTGCGTGCCAAGTGGCAAGATTAGGTTTGGCCTACAATTTGCCCCCCGTTTTAATGATCGTGAAGAGGAAACAATGTCAATTCGATTGAGTTTGTTGGGATCCAAGTCATGTTTCAATCATCCATTCTTGGAGCACATTCAATGCAAGCGGGCGCCCTTTGCGATCCGGCGACGCGCATACCAAGATGCTCCTGACTACACGGAACAGACTTGTACCAAAGCAAACATGCTAGTTTCGCTGTATCAAAGGTAGCGTCCCTTGGGCCATGATTTGAGTCTCTGGTCTGTTGAAGCCAATTCTCAACTCGAGTCGTAAGGCAGGTCGGGACCTTCCCTTGTCTCAGGAATAAGGAGGGTTCGGGAATTCACATCGGTTTTTTGTTTGAACGCCACGACGGCCCCTCACTGTTTTGAAGGAAGCTTACAGCGCGAAGGTCGATGTGAGACTGACAATTCCCTTGCGAGTAAGCACAGTCTGCAACACCAACACGTGGGAAGTGTGCCATCAACTACCCGCCCCCAATTGTGGGGGTCATTTTCCTTTCCGGAATCTGAGACCCAGCAGCCCACGTTGCCTCAGGACCTGCGCATCTTGATGCTTCATTGCTTCCTGGCCTGGCGGGCCGAGCGAAAACCGAAGCGAACACAGGAGCGAAAGCGGGAGAAAGCCGGAAAGTGTTGCATGAGCCAATTGAAAAGAAGCAGCTGGATTCTGGTTCTCCGATGCTAGTGTGCCAGCGTTCTGTTTGGATGTTTGATCGCTATAGAACACATGTAGTCATGTGCAATTATATATATATACATACACCTGGCAACAACAAATTGTTGCTGCGTTCTACGCACAGTGTTTCCATAACATGCTGCCTTGCTGGAATGGAAAGGGATGATTCACGAAATGTCATTGAGTACCCAGATTCATCGTTATCGCTTTCCTTTCAGAAGACAAGCTGCAAATTGCGATGCGCGAATCGTTGCGTTTGCAGGGCAGCAAAGTTAAGCTAAGCTTACCAGATACAAGTACCAGGGGCTAAGGCGAATGTTTGCAAAGCTTGTGTTTGTTTGATGCTTGTGAACAAGGCTGGATGAGTTCGTCTTGCAACAGCTTGCAACATGGGACAGACAATGACAAAGCTGGCTGCTGCTGCGTGCAAGGTCCTGCTGAGACCCCTCTACTGTAAACTCCTGCAACATGGGGTTTCCAAGTCTAAGTGGATGATGTGGCTTACGTGACAGCTCTGCGTACACACTGTCACAGAAAGTAGATGCCAGGTAGTTCATGGGTGTTAACGCAACATATCATTTTTGAGCATATCGCTGGCTTTACCACTCTGTAGAGCAGGTCAAGATCCACTAAAATGCTTACATACGGAGCATCCATGCCTCTTGGGTATGTTGCGCTTACCTGTGTGTGTTTTTTGGTGCAAGGCGGAGAAGGGTTGTATATCAATTGGAGAATGCTCGCTTCATTTCAACTTCAGCGTATACTGGACGGACCTGATTCCAGGAATTGCCCTGGAATGGATCGACAACCCAATGAACATCTTTTCAGCAGTCATGAAAGCGGACAGGGGGCCGTTTAAAGATCACGGTTCGTTTCCAAAGTCATGATTGGAACGAGAGCAGTTCTCAGATTTTTATACTGTGTCGTGATCAAACCTTTAGAGGGGAGTTGCTTGGGATGGTCATTCACCCCTTCATTGTGATTTTAGACAACTTCCCCGTCCAGTCGACGTGATTAGCTGGATTCTCAAAATGCATCACTCTCCTTTTGACGAATTGCAGGCGTGTGTCTTTGAGGGTACCCGGTTCACCATGGCTTGATGGGAAACCAAAGGAACCACACTTCCTTTTTTTGGAGAGGGTCCCGTATGTTGATTCATAGCTGCATACCCAATAATGTGTGTTTTCCTGCAAGTTGTCCACCAAAGCTAGGGTCACCAGGTGCGGGTGGTGAAATGATCCCTTGCACCATACCTACATTTGGCTTCTTTATGCAAAGCCAACAGGGGAATCTTTTCCAATGACAGGGGTCCCCATATTTTTATCGCGTTTGGCGAATTTTGTGATCACCTTTTGGGCCAATTCAAAGTGAGTCTCCGTGTGGGGCCCTAGCGCCTCAGGAGCCACCACGCTTGCAAGACGCCATAGCGCAGGTGTCCGAGGATGACAGGCGGCGCCAGTTCCCGTGCCTTGAAACCACGTCTCGTTAACGAGGGAAATGGATCAACGTGAAGCAAACGCCGGTTTTTGATTTATCCCCTTGGAAAAGTTATGATCACGGCTTGACGACCTAATGAGTTTAGCCTTTATTGCGCTTGACGTTTGTTGTCTCCTTTGATCTTCTCTGAGATTGATCGGACATGTGTGGTTTGAACGAATGGGGTCCCAACACTAAGCCAATGCCAACCCCTGACAATGCGTAAGCCATCGTAAGACAAACCCACACCACCATAGCTAAGCCAAACACCACCCGAACTTGGACCAAGCACATTAGCCATGCACATCATGCCGACGAAGACTCCATGTCAGGGCGGCAATTTGTTGCTCCAAAGCAATCCCCCAAAGGAGCATGAAACACATCAGAGGGGCCAAGACAAAGATTCCGCCAAGCATGGTGCTTTTGGTCAGGTTCCGTGTTGTTCAGCAGAGTCAGCAGAAGGACCCCCTTCATGTTGCTAGTTGCTACCCCGCTCCGAAACCTACCACAAATGCATTTGAGTGCTTTGAAACTCAAGATTCCCCGAATTAGATTTTCAGAATGTTGAGCCTTGAGAGATGTCAGCCTAAGAACTGCCTTGAGTCAGACAGTTTCGGGATAGCTGCTACCACAGAACTTCGACAAAGGATCTTGAATTTCATCCACTTGTAGTAAGCAAAGCACACTTTGGCAGCTCCAGCTCGAAAACAAACTTTTCAGTATAAGAATAATACGCAACGTTTACTTAAAAGGCAGCGCACCTTTGCCTGTCCGCTCGCTGGCCGACAGACACCACTCCGACGTATGACAGCCTCTTTAGACAGACAGCTGTTACAGAGCCTGTCAGGAACTGACACCTATGACACCCCGAAGGGTGAGGCTCCGGCCACTGGCCGGACCAGGACAGCTTTCACAGGCCGACGCCTGAGGCTCCGTCCGCGAAATCTGCCACTGGCAAAGCCTGGGCTGGACAGCTGTGCAGAAAGCTGGGGCTGACGTGGAACAGTTGTGCAAGCGACGCAAGCAAGTTTGAGTTGCCCGCCTTTGCCCGGGAGCTCTCGTTTTGCCTGCTGCGCTGTGCGAAGGCAGTTATTCGTGAGGTTGAAGCAGCGGGGGCGTGCTCAGGATGTGGTGTCCTGGCTTCTTGTCTGACAGAGGGGCTTTGGAGAGCGCGTGTGGGTCACAGAGGAAATGGTTTCGGCTGCTGAAGTTAGCGTGGACATCCAGATTTGAGCAAGTAAGGAACCAGTAAGGAACCACTCCCGCCCCCTGGCTGCCATTGCCGAGCCACAAGGCAACCTTTTGCTTCGGATGTGGCTCCCTTGTGAACTGATCCTAGCGAGCGGCGCCGGCGATTTCAGCTGACACAGAACCTGGGGCTGCAAGGGATGTGCCCTGCAAGAGCTTGAATGGCCCCTTGAAGAGTCGAGGGGGCCCTGGATGAGTGAAATACCCACCAAACAGAAAACGTGATTGTGGTAAAAGCTAAGGCTGCTCCTGATTAGGATCAAAGCTGCCCTTGCTTCCATTTTTCCGCTTTGCTGAGGTTGATTGCCATCGAAACGGCCAGCAGCATGCTTGATCAGGTTGACCTGACCCTTTGGCGCCTGTGCGTTTAGCCAGGCAAGTTTCTCAGGTCGGTGGAGTAGCGCAAATGTTTGTTTGGTTATTCCCGTCTGGCGGGGGAAGTTAATCTTCAATTGTTGGGAAGAAAGTGATTTTAATGTAAACTAAACTGCTAATGTGAATTGTAGTCCGGATCCAGTATAATGGTGTTTCGTGTCCTTGCGCAGTTCTGTTTACGCTGCTTGCCGGCTCTGTACATACATACATATGCAAAAATAGTTTACGTTACATGTCAACTCTGTATATAAATGATATTATTGTTCCAATTGCACCCTAAGCAGTGCTGCGCAACATTTTGGAAATCTTGCACAATATGTCCCCGGGACCGATAAAGGAAGAGAAAGAAAGACTAGACAAGAAAGAGAGCAAGCGCGCTTCAGTCATGGGGGGAAATGGTATATTTGGCGCTTTGCGCGGTTTTCCCTCAATCTATTCTGGAAGTGGGTGCAACTATCAAGTCTAATCTAACAGTTTATATATTCAAATACACATAACATAACATAGCATAACCAAGCCAAACATGGCACAGCATAGCGTAACACAACATTGCGCAACATGACAACGACAAAGACAAACACAATACTGAATGGGTTTGAGTGATGCCCTCTGCGCCAGGCTGGCGCTTCAGCACACGGATCAGCAGGCGACATGGACCGAAACAAAGGGTCGCCAAAACGAGTTGCTCGAAACCTGAGGTTTGCCATGCATGGCAATTTCTGGAATTGCTGAGGTTTGGAGGATCCGACATTTGTTTTAGGACAGTGGACCGAACCAGCTACAATCCTGTGTTCACCAATCATGCATTTGCGGCATTGTGGGCTTTTGTCGAATTGTAGCTGTCCCACCTGATTTCATTGCTCAAACTTTAGGAGTGACCCACAATTTGCATCATGTGATTTGAAAGTTGCTTACTCGGCGCACAATGCTGACTGTTCCTGTTGTAAGCGTCAGTTGCTGACTCTTCAACCTACCACTTGGCACTGGCGTTTCTGATGACCAATTCAATGTACAGCGACACGGGAACATCGGTGTTGTGCTTGCCTCTCAGTTGGAAGCATATTCCTCCAAGCCTGCATTTTCATGGATATGCTGGTGTTTACCGTGTCCTGATCTTGCCCCCAAATGCAGGGGGGGTCCAGCTGAAAGGCTTGGTGCATTTTTTCTTTGAGGGTTCCTTTTTGTGCTTGTGCCCAGTGAACTCCAAGAGGCAACCACCCCCTTGCGCGGTTCTGTCATTTTGAGACACCCACTGGCACACTACACGAGTTTTGCCGCACTTTGACACATTGAAGCTGACCACTCGACGCCAGGTCCCGCGCGTATTTGCAGGCGAGAATTTGGGAAAGGAATGGCTTCTGTTCTCACGCCGGTGGGTTAGTAGGTGCAGGCAGTGGGAGGAAGTTTTGAATGTTCATGTTTGCATGCCAAGTTGCTGGACGTACTTGTTGAGAAGATCATTCTGGTGACTCGGTGAGACACACACCACACAACAGTCACACATATTTGTGTTGGGCATCCACTCAACATGTGAGCGTCAGAGTTCCTCAGAACATCCGAAGGAAGCGACTTCCAGGTGCTGCAGCAGCCTTTGCCCCTCACATTAGTTTTTGCCGTTCTGTCCCGATGACTTGTCGAGCAGAGGGTTCTGAAGCCTGAAGATTGGTATTGTTAAAGTTTGGCCATGACACGCAACTTAGCAATGGGAGTTGTGCCTTTTTTGGGGGCTGCCTGAAGCTGACTGAGTGCCGAAAAGAGCCAGCCAGTTTAGGTCTTCCTGTTCCCAAGGGTCCGATGGAATTGGGGCCCTGGTTTTCCATCTTCAGCCCCATGGGTCGCTGGAATTAACGTTGGGATTTGATGGGTATTGTTGGTTCCCACGGTGACGTTAGGTCCATTTGGATGGAAATTGAGCAGCCGAAGGATTCCTGCGCTTCGGGACGTAGCTGACTTCAATGGGCACCTGACATGCGTCTAACATAGGAACCCATCTACACGGTTGTGTTGCTCCACGTTGAAACCTGTCCACACGGACTACGTACCTTTTTCACCCTTTCCATCTAATAATCCTACCTTATCTACATTGCATGAAACGTAGTGGGTAGAGCAAAGTACTGACTCTAGTACTGACAAAAAATATATTGACAGGGTCCTGACCACTTTGGTCATTGGGCTTTGCCCTCTGTCGATTTTCCCATTTGGTCATCGAACTTACAATCAGAATCGATAGGTTGTGGGTAAGAAACCTGCCGTGTGTGCTGCCTATTAAAAAGGAGGCCCAAATACACACCGGTTTTCCTCTTGGTTATTTGTGGAGAAATCAAGGGGCCCACCCCATACCCTTTCTGCAGCCGATGTGTATTCAGGCTCCCTGTATGGCACGTCTGCGTGGTGAAAAGTCTGGGATTTGTAGGGATGCGGGGTTTGTAGGGATGGTCATGGGCACCGTTGTTTGCTTCCGATGCCGAGGATGATTCGTTTTCAGAGAACCACGAAAGCGCCAAGCCTGGCCCACACTTGGAGTCTTTGCTGGCACCTCTGAGCCTCTGAGCATCCCGAACGTGGGGAGGGCTGAGGAAAGCCAACATGAAACATCATGAAACCATCGATTCAGGATGTGTTTGTCGAGTGCACCGATTTGTCGTCGCATTGTTGTTGTTTTTGTTGGGCCAACCAAAAAGGAAGCCATGTCCTGGGTTCCTCTGGCAGGAGCCGGCTCTGTGCCCCCGGTGCTTCCCAACCATGCCATCCGGGCTCTTCTGGGTGAGGAGGTTGGGGACGCGTGAAGTGAGGTCAAGTTCTTGTCTGCTATTGGGTTGGATCTTTAGACTAACTTTTTGGGAAATGAAGGGGTTTTCCACTAAACCCACAAACAGTTAAACTTTTAGCAGAGGGGTCAACAGCAACAAAGAGTTGAGGCAATCAATCCCCGGGTAGATGAAGGGACGTAAGGGACAGGTCCAGCCAGAAATAGGTGTGAATATATCCCCTTTTGATTCTTTACGTTTTGGGTAGACCTCTTTAGTGCCAGGTTTGATTGTAATTTGAACCTGGCAAAAGTGGCGCAGTTTCAATGGAACCCAGTCAATTGCGACAGAAGGGTGGAAATCCGCCCAGAGTCTCTTGGGGGTGAAATGCAGCCAGATGCCTGCAAGTTGGGTGCCCATCCCGGCCACTTAAAGGAACCAAAGGGCCCTTGCCGCAGGAGGTGGAAGATATCGATAGAGAAAGCTCTCGCCCCTCTGGAGTCCCTCCCTTTGCATTTGCAGAACCCCCCTGGTTTGTGCAGCCGTATATTAGCTTTCCGCTTGAAACCTTCGGTTTCAACCGGAGAAATCGCGGCATCTGACTCCCGTCCCGCATAGTTCGAAACAGGGCCACCCGCACTCAATCCGATGCCCTCGTGCGTTCTCAACTCGCTGCTGATACCCATTTGCTTTGAATCACGTGGGGGGATTTCATGGATTTTAATTGACACGCAATAGATATGACTCAACTCGTTTTGACACATCGCACGTGAAACCCCCTGTGTTACCGCCATACTCGCGAGAAGCAACATATTGGGTGAGCCTGGGTGGGTTCATTTTTTGACGATCTTTCCCCTAACCAACGCGGCAAACCCAACCGGGGCGTCCTTTTGGAATGCGTGCGGGATCGCAGGTGTTCCTAGAAGCCGACGGCTCGCTGCGGGGGGCTTCCTTGTGGCTGTCCATGCGGCCTCCAAAGGCGCGCAGACGAGTGAAGCTGAAGCCCGTGCGGACAAAACCAGCACATAACACATGGCTGTGGCTCAAAAAACCGGTACCAAAATGGAACCCTGGTAAGTGGAAACATGGACCAAAACCTGCGTAACCCCTCCTGTTTAATTTTGAGCCACACCCACATACAGAAGAGACTCAAGGTGCGTGTGTTCGTGCGAGCTTGCGTGCCAGCTTGCGCTCATACCAGCGTGCGTGGGCTGGTGGGTGGGTGTGTGTTTGTGTGTTTGTTTGTCTGGCAGGGGCGTCATTATCATGTTGGGGAGCCCAATATCATCATGTTATTGGTTAGTTGACGCTTACCTAGACTTGAAGGTGGTAGCACGCACACCTAGTTCAACCAGTTCCGTTGTTATTATAAGATCATTGTTACATATATATGTACAGTTGGGTTCGCATCAGTCGATCCAAATCAGCCTTGATTCGAACTTCGGTCCAAGCACTAGCTTCATTGGACTCTTGGGCCGTTGATATCTATTTGAGTGTCTCACACGCACAGATCATTGATCTGCCGCTTGACATGAGAACGAGTCAGTGATCCCTACTCGAGTTTCGACTTGAGCGTGTTTGTTACGCAGACAATCTGAAACTTCAGCAAGTCCTGGGAGGTGCAATGGCTGCAAAGGGGGGAGACACAGCCAAGGAGGGCGCTGATTTGCATGCTTGATTGATGCCGGCATCCTCCCCCTGTTGGGGCAACCGCCCCAAGCACTCCAAAAGGCATGTGGAAGGGGAGAACTTCTTTCCGAGCAAATGCTCATGGACCTCCAAGGGCTCCAGTCGGGGGCTCTCCCTGGATAAGCCAAGGATAAGTCCCCATCAAGGCCTTGTTTCGTTTCTTGTTGGGGTGATAGTCCGCCCCCCCCCTCCCATCTCTGGCCTTCCCCAAAGCCTCTCAGGTCTCAGGTCCGTGCAAGGTGTGACTTCCCCCCTGTGAGATATGTCCATGGCCAGGCCACGCGGCAATTCCTGAAGACCTTTGATCTGTGCCTTCCTTGGAGACAGGCGAGCTGAATCGCTGAATCGCCGAATCGGCTTCCAAGTGGCTGAAAACGAGTCCCTCAGAATCAAAGCTGGTTGTCAAGCCCCCGGTTTCAATCCAGGGCCAGGCTTGGCACCACGTAATTGAGCAGGCGTCTTGGCCATTGCGCAAGGCGGCACGCTAGGCTGCCAAAAAGCGTCATTTGCGCGGTTGGCATTTCAGGGTTGATTTCTTCTCGTCTCAGTCATGCTTCTTCTCAACTCATTGAATGTTGGACCATTCCCGAAAGCCGAGCACACTGCTCTGCCCAAGTCCAAGACGGCTGAAAGCAAAACTGGGGCTATCCGTGGAATGCAGATTGCCAGTTGCTTGTGTTTTCGTGCTTGGATGTTTGGCAGTGCCATACGCATGTCGAGTCCATCGTATTCCTTCCATCCACAGTGCAGTTTTGCGGATGGGCCCGCGTTGTGGGTATCGAATTGTGTGCATAGCTTTGGTGTTGCGAAGGGAAAGCAGTCGTCATCATCAGTTGTGTCGCATTGCTTTGTTCCTCGTGGCTAGGTTCCAGGAATGGTTTTGCCACTTGCCGGCATACTTTCCCGCGACACTATATAGAACATGTTGCCAAGGCACGGGACGCACTTCAAGAGAACGCGATAGTTTTCGGCCCCGCACAGCTATGAATGACTGCCGACACGGTGCCATACCACTCCCACTCGGTGACTTCTATAGATGACGTCTCTTCCAAGTTCCACAGAATGCTTGCCGACTCGCGCGTATCATGATGATTGTGAAACCAGCACATTATTTGATGGCTGCACCATTCCTGCCTACAATGCATATTATCAAGACCATTGCCCTCTCAGAATGTCAGGAACTTGGGAGGGAACATGTTGCCAACAATTTCGACACGTTGAGTGTGCAAGCCTAGAGTTCCTAAGCAATCGTTTTGAGCGACACGGAGCTAACCGGATTCGCGCGAGAAAACCGAGAAAACCGGAAAACCGAGAAAACCGGAAAACCGAGAAAACCGGAGAACCGAGAAAACCAGAAAACCAGAAAACCGAGAAAACCGAGAACACCGAGAACACCGACAACACCGAGCCGTTTTGTTTTTGCTTGTGGCTTTTCTCTTTTCTCCAACGTTTGCGCGGTTTTCACCGTTTGCTTGGCTCTCTTGGTTTTCCGGTTTTCGCCGACACATCTCGAACGTCATGTTTCCAAGCAGGCCCACGCTTCCTTTGTTCATGCTCAGATGTTGACCGGGGTCTCCTCCAAAGTGATGTTGTATTTTTGAGTTTGACCCAATATGACACAGACTCCGAATATATGCTACATATGTACGTTTCCTTGGGTTGGGCCAAGTCGAGCGTCCGCTGACGTTTCATCAATTTACACAGGGAAGGTCCGTGCCTTGAAATCTCCCCACTTCTCCTGAAGTAAAAGCCTCGGTTTGCTCTTGTTGGGATGGGTTCCTTGAGTCGTTGAGCTTGTTTGACCACTCGGAACAGTGCTCGACCCAAAGCAACATCCTGGGAGCGATCTTTGGATCCCGCTTGGAATTGATGAAGACGAGGTGATCTTGGAGCCACCCCGGGAGTTGAGCGCATTGTTGGCGGCTGTCCGGGCTGAGAAGCTGAGAAGCACTCGGCTTTGATCGTCACAACCCAAGATTGTGTAATGTACATCGGCGGAAGGGTTATCCACGTCCGGACCGTTCCAGTTGCCAGAGGCGGAGGTGATGCGTGGACCTGGCCGAGTGAACCTATGGATTCCTTCGGTGTATTTAGTATATTTTTGGGGTAGCACTGCACCCTTTTCCGGTCGGTTTCAAGGGAACCAACAGGACAAACACATTTTTTTGCGGGGTTCCCTTATTTTTTTTAAGACGTACCTACTTAGACGCTCAGCGAAGCCATAAGATCGGCCCACGGCCGTGAGGTGGAGGAGGAGTTCAGACAGCCGAGGCGGGTGAGCCGTGAGTCCTGGGATTACCCAAAAGAGAAGGGCCCAAAAGCGCTTAATAATGTTGTTTATTTTCCCCTGCTGGTTTTAAAGGGAATCTATCACTACGTGAAATATTCTTACTTTTTCCAGGGGTCTGGACCAAATGGAAGAATTGTTTAGAGGTCCCTCTAAATTGGGTAGGGGTTGTGGATTTCATTCCAAGCACTCTGCAGGAGGTTTGGGCGCATGATTGTGTTGTTCTCCATTCCTGGCGTGTTGACATGTATACGATTATTAGGACTAAGCGAAATTTGTTTAACACATGTTGCTTGATCCCTTTCCATCCCTCATATTAGGAAGTGGAGTACACCCTGCATGAAAGTGTTCATTCTAGTCAAGTCACGGTGATACGGTGTTGGTTTGCAAGCTCTTGTGTTTCGTTCAACTGTTTCCGTCTGCCAATCCTAAGGCTCAGAGTGAGTTGGATGGCTTCTCAACTTGCCATAAACCTCCGCGGGTCACTGCCCGTGTCGATTTGGATTGGGCAGTTGACCCTCTGTTGAAGCTACAGAAATGGAAAGGTCGCAGTATTCCAAACCATCAGGCTGTGGGTCAATGGGGCGGTGATGGCAGGGGATCGCCCATGGGGAGATATGTTATTCTCATACTTGGTGCCTCACAAAAAAAGGAAAAACAACGGGGCGACGTTCCTGGCTTTTACTCTTCCATTCCATGCCCTAACATGGCCCAATGTGGTATGACGTGCTCGTGTTTTGTTTTGGCCCTCGAACAGACTTTTTTTCTTCAAAGAACCGTTGCCTTTTGGATTTGCTCCGCTGGCTAACACAATCCAGACCTTCCAGTGGGCTTCCAGGGCCCGCATTCCATGAAAAACATCACCCATTGCCATGTCTTGCGGGATGGCGACCTGGCGGACCTCAACCCGGGCCAAGTTTTACCCATGGCGGTTGTTTTTTTTTTGGGGGGGGGGTCAAACGAGCTCCATGGTGAATGTCCTCTTGGGGATTCCTCAATTTAGATTGGTGAAGGGTCGTAAATGGCCCATGAATGCAACCTCTGGGATTTCAGTCTTCCGGTCGAAAGCGTCCAATCCAAGCTCAACAGCCGAGGCTTTGCAGAGACTTGCACAAGGCATTGTCCTTCATTTCAATACCGACAGAGGCTCACTTGTGCTCCGCAGAACCCTGTTGGCGATGTCAACAGGTAGTTGTACCTTGCGGAAAGGCCCAAGCTTTTGATCATGTTGATGGAACTTGACTGGGTGAGGGGACTCAGAAGCAGTGGTTCGTACAACCGCTGCAGGTAAGCTTGTAGGCTCCGTTCTGGATTGCTCCTGGCTCACATGCTGGCCTGTCAGACCTTCCATGCCAAAGCATGCCAAACGTTGGCCTTACGACACACAGAGTCCGTTGCAACACATCGCCATAAGGCCGTGTATCCCTTTGCTCCAAGCTCGCACTGTGCAGCCATGCGCTGGGTGCTCTTGCTCCTGGCGTTCTCGTCTGCAGCGGCAGATGAGCACATTGTGCTGAAGCCAAAGGCGCCGGTCGTGTGACGGAAGCTGCCAGTATTCTGTTTTTGCCTGTCCAAGTGTTTCATTTTGGCAGCTACCTCGCGCTTTTCTGTGTGTGTGTGTGTCTATTTATTCATCCACTTGCCCGGAGCTTGATAGCCAGGTGATTTGAAATCTGTCCAACCCAGCACCTGTTGAGTAGGCGGAGAATTCAGTACTGGGAGGTTAGCATGACACATAGCCTGTGACTTGCATTTCATTTGTGCAACATATGCTATGGTCATAGTAAGTGGTTGTTTACAGATTTATGGGGGCGGCAGTTTGCCTCTTTGGGATTTGGACAATCATATTTCTGGCGCCCTGCCCGCGTCCCTCTCAAGGGGTTTTGTCGAAGGAGACCAAGTGTGACTTGTTCTGAACGACTAGTCCAAAGCGTGATCCTGCATTTGTGAGATAGCCTTTCACACATACAATACTTACGCACAGCCGGCCACCGAGCGCCCTGCCCTTCCCTTCGTTTTCCACACAACACTTCTCCCTGCACTTCCTTTCAGCTCCCTTCACTTCCCTTCATTTGCAGTCAGTCCCTTCCCTGAATTCCTTCATTTCCCTTTAGTTCGCGTGATTTCTCCTCACTTTCCTTTTTCACTTCCTTCTCCCCTCATTCCCCCTGTTCTATGTATGTCCCTTCGGTTCCTTTCAGCTCCCTTCATTTGCAATCATTTCCCTTCATTTCCTGTCATTTTCTGTCATTTCCTTCCAGTCCCCTTAATTTCCCTGCATTTTCCTTCAGTTCCCTCTTCCCACCATGTCCATTCGTCTTGTTCCTTCGCATCGCCCACATGCGCTGTCCAGCATCGGGCACCTCGGGGAGATGTCAAGAGCCGCTTGAGCAAAATCCATCCCACTCTGGTCCTCTCTGCAGGGCCGGCGGATCACAGCTTGAGTCTCAAAGAAAGGAACGTTGCAAGTGACATTTGAGGGGTCGCGCCTTAGGCCTTTAAAAAATAATAAGGCAACCATGACAGAAACTTGCATTTGTTGTTGGAGGGCCAGACACATGAACCCTTCCGCCACCCAGAAGTTCTGGGGTGAAGGTGGTCTGCGTGTAGGTGGCCGCTCTGCGGGATTGAGGACGAGTGAGCTAAATCCTTAATTAGGCCGGCATTGACATGAGTTTCTGGACCCGCTTCAGAGTCTAGAATTGAATTTGTGAGGTCGGTAAGGTTGCAATCGATTTTGTAATTCCTTCTTTGTTCCTGTTCTTTGGGTTGTTTCGGTGCAGAATGAACAGAGTGTTTTTAATTCTGGTGTGTGTGGTGGGTGACAGGCTTCATTTTCCCAACTTTTGGGTGCGTGCATTTAAAGTTGTCTTGGTTGAAAGCGGGTCAGCAGCGTGCTGAACATCGATGGGGGTTGTGTCCTAGTAGCAAGAAGTCAGCAACACAAACAACCAGCTATTTGGAATCTGTAAGGATCCATCGTGTGTGCCACTTTCATCACAGTTCGAGCAAATGTGGACTGATGGTGGTTTCTTGTGGTGCCCCTTTGAGCATCGTGTTTTCTCTGCACGAGCAGGGCTGGCAGCTTGCCACTAATCCAGGACCCTAAACGTACCCGCCCAGGAAACTCGCAGCCTCCTTTGGGTAGATGAAGTCAATGTTGTTTGATGCTTCCTTTTCGGTCCTCGCAGCCGACAACCCCTTGCCTTCAATTTTAGTGGGATGAACTCACGTGATCCGCAGGGCACTGGCCAGCAAAAGATGCTGGCTGCTTGGCTGGATTCGTGGCCGCTTTGCTTTGTACTCACGAAATCAAATTGGGACCCCAAGACCTTTCCAGAGAACCAGCATATGCTGAAAGTTGTGTTTGTTTTTGTTGTTTTGTGTTGTAAGGACAGCTTCCAAATTTTGATCTCCACGCAGCAGGCGGCCGGTTGCTTCGAGCAATCATGGGTACTGCCTTCAAGCAAATCGCCCTCAAAGATTCTGGTTTGCTGAAAGGATTGCTCGGGTATTGCTATGATTTCTACAGCCGGCTGGGGCTGTGTGCCTTTGCAGCTTTCTTGTTCAATCATGATTCCATGCATATGCAATGAGCTGAGCTTCAGCTGGCGGGTGCTTGAGCCAATCGTGTGGCTCCACCTGGTGTCAGATGTGTCAGATACCGGCCTATGGTTCATGAAGTCAAGTGCGAGGGACGGTCAACCTTTGAGTTGGGCATGTGGTCTTTAATATCGTTTGTCAAACCAACTTGTTTGTGTTTTATGTAACCGAGAAATGTTGCGATGCTTAGGTGGAACGGTTTGGACTATCGCTGAACAGCACCTGCTTGTGCCCCTCTCAGATTCGTCAACGATGGTTGGTAACTCTTGGGGTTTGGGGAGGACATGCGGGCACAACCCATTTCCCATGTCCTTTTGGAAGCAAAGCAAATTCGTCAGCGGCTTGTGTGCTTCTAGTCTCGCATCAAGATGCTTGCTGAAATGGTTTTACATGTTGAGGATCACGAATGGACCGGAATCAAACCAGCTGCTTTGTGCGCAGACGCCGAGGTATGGTGGATGCTCTAAATGTTGGAAGGGCCTAAGGAACCCCCGGCCCCCGTAAAATGCGATTCATTTTCCGCGGGTTGGTCGAGTATGGTTGGTTTACTTGCGACTAGAGGCCCCTTTCTACACGCTGAGCGCACGGCCGCGCCGAGCGCGGTTTAAGTGCTGAGGTCTTCATCCCTGGTGGCAAGGTGCCGAACCACCACTACCAGCTGACTGGGCAGGCGATCCAGGCTGGAAATTTCGAGTCCGGGAAAGTGAAAGTCGCCAGGGCTCCTCCCTGCCAGGGTTTGGCGAATGGTAAGGGCAGCCAAGGGGCAAGTGTGATTCAAATGGCAGGGTGGCTTCTGGGTGTGTCTCAGCATTTGGGTCCCTACGTCAATCGGTTGCGGTAGCTTCATGTTTTGAGGAGTGCCGAAAGATGGCTTCCCATTTTCAGTGAGTGATACCATGCTGACACAGCCAGACGTGTTGTCAAGTCATGTGGAGACCTAGCATGGATGTGTTTGACTAAAATTGAATCTAGACTGCGGGGAAGCCAGACACCTCAAACCATTCTGCAATTGCTTGCTCGAGAATGTGGCCTTCTAACTGCAGCTGTTGAGCATAAAGTGCAAATTTGTTTTGAAGCTAGGTGGATGTTGCATCCGATGCTTCCCAATGTTCGAGTGTGGGTCAATGCCGCCTTCATGAAGATTGAAGTTCAATCAGGTTGAACGTGTCATTGTTTGAGTTTGCATCGAATTGAAACACGCAGCTTGAACTGGTTTTTGTCTCCGGCTTCTAAGATTCAACAGCTTTGACACCGTTTCTTTAGCACTGTACTGAGAATTGTGTCCCCGTTTCCGATATGAACATGTGCTTCAAATTGTATTCTTGCAATGTACCCTTCAGCTTCCTACGTTTCACCTGACGTCCAATCTGAGTTGGAGCGTATCAAGAAAGAACAGCAGCAGAAGCATTCCAAGAAGTAGCTTCAATCTGATCAAGTTTGGAAAGGGATTTCAATATGAGGTGTGTTTAGGTATTTGTTCAAGTGAGAAGGAATTCGATAGGAAAACCTCCACAACCGTTGTTGTGTTAATTTGGCAGCCTGGATCTGGACGTGCACGCGGCATGTTGAACTTGATATAAGGAAAAAGCTCCGGAGTCTGAATTTAGATCCATTGCCCCACATTGGTCTTTCTGAATACGCTGTCAACGTTCCACCTTGCCATATTTGCTCTGCTTTTGAGCAACATTTGATTAACACGCAGCACACAAGGGGCCCAAAAAGAGATTCCTCTATTTTGTGTTAGGTTCTCAAGGACATTTCTTCAAGTAAAGACGATGTTTTGTTTTCTGAAGGGGACGCCATGGGGGCTGCGTTTTTTCCAGATTCCTGGCTGCGTGTTTCATGAAAAAGCGACCAAAAAGCCAACAAAAACGGTTCCATGTGCATTTTGGGGAGCAACTCCCTAGCCTCGATCGGCATGAGGACGCGATGTCGGAGCAAGGCATCAACCTGTGGGTGGCGCCGTTCTCAGAATCGGTTCGGGTTTCACCGGGATTAAACTGCGGCACTTGGGTTCTTGCACCGTGGTCAAATCTAGAAACTCCCTTTTCGTGCATGTCAAGAGAGAAACCACCATGACCATGGACATGCGCGATTAGGAGAACCTCCCAATTTCGACGCAACACCTAGAGTATTGAGAGCCTGTTTTGGTGGGACTTTTTTGTTATCCTGTATCTTTCTTACGTTGCCAGATTACCGGAACTGTCTTTGTTTGGCTTGCTGCTTTTTCCACCATTTTCCTTTTCAACCAGGAGAGGTTGTTGTTAATCTCCGAACCCTGAACATGCTCAGAAGGTCCTTGCACTTGTTCAGAGTGCATCTTTTGGAATTTGCACGCGCCGGTAGCCTCCCGCTTTCCGTTTTTACTAAGCTGGTTCGCAGATGCATGTGCGGTGGACACTGCATTTCATGTAATCCAGGGGCTGTGATCAGCGCGTGTTCCAGCAAACCCCCGTCCTTTCCTCAAATTGCGCAAAGGGTTCTCTTGGGGTCATTTCCTACTTCGGCCTGCAAGTCGGATTGGGCTACCTCAGTCCACAATTGCCAAGGCAGCAACATCATCAGAAACCTCCATCTTACCCCGCCTCTTTCGGCAAGCCTGCAAACCATGGACCAGGCCTGCCTCTTCGCTTGATCCGATTTCGCCCTCGACCCTCCGCGCTACGCATTCCGAGCGAGGGCGATGCGCGGTTTGATCCAGTCCAGAAACCAGTGGCCTGTGAGTCTCGAGAATTCGCGGCTCATGTCTAAGGCTTCCCTAAAAAACACCCAGAGGTGGGGAGCCACTTGGTGAAATCTTAGAATCTGGTGGTTTGCGAGAGCTTTGTTAGGAAGGAATGAGAAGTGATAAGCAAGTATGGTGTGTCGTGATATGATGTTTGCGATTGCTATCAGGAGCGTGACACCACGTGTTGGTCGCTTTGACATTAGACATGCGTATTGCCAGTGCATGCACATGCACGGATGCTCACGGCACATGCGAGGTGATTCCGACAGTGTTCCAGAACTTGTGCATCATCAGCTGCTCCACCACCTTCCTTTGCGCGCCCTTGCACAACACTGTGAAGGCCTGAATCGAACTTGGGAAATTCGAAAAGCCTCAGTCAAAAGCCCGCAACGTGTTCAGTAGCTGTCGGCGTTTGTGTCTCGTGGGGGCCTTGTCACGCAACATGTGCGTGCAAAAGTGACTTGCGCTTCTGAGGGATGGATGCTGCCATTTTGGGGTTGCTTTAGTTCAGCCGCCGAAATCGATCCCAAGAATTGATGGTTTGTGTGTGTTTTGTAAGTTTAGCATGTATAGATTTACATAGACGGCCAGCACCTGGCCTTGCATCCTAACCTGAAGTAAGCCAGTCTGGAAACCACATGTTGGAATTGCATGGAGTTGTTTCAGCCCTTTTGGCCTTGTGTGGGGAATGTAGCATGCATACCGTGTTGTGGTGGTTCAAGGTCATATTGTTTTCCATCATGTCTTTAGCTCGGTGACGGTTGTCCTCGGTGTGCTCGACAGTCACCTAGTCTTTTAGGTCTCATATGTATACACATGTATATATAGGGCTGTTTGAAAGGGTTTTTGCCCGTTGAATGGGGAGCATGAGGGAACTCACCATACTTTCCACAAACAAACTCAGGGACGAGCCCTCATTTTGCCAAGGAGAATGGGAATTTGGCCATGCCTCGTTTCAAAATGACACCAACCTGCAACCAGGCTTCTTTTTTTTAACCCCTACAAGGAGGCTTTTTTTTAACCTAGGACAAGGATCCTTCCATGTCGTTCTGGCGCGGATCGTGGTTCTTGTAGGTGTTTCTTTGCTTAAAAAAATGACTTTGGGGCAATGAACCTAGAGATCGTTGGACATGGCTCCATGTTCCCCATCCTCTCCTGGAATTTGGATTTCGTTGGTGGGACACCAAGGAGGTGTCCCTGGAATGTCGTGAGCTGCGAGCGTAGTGACGGGTTCGGCGGTTCGGCAAGCGAATGCCGAGTTGATTGGCTTCAGGCATTCGATTCCACGACTCGCATTCTATGCCCTGCGCAAGTTCTTTCCAACATTTGGGCCCAATGGGGGATTGTCCTTGCTCCCTTGATACAATTTGGGCTCAGCTAATTCCCCGTAGCTTCAGTCCAGAAAAACCAGCTATCGTGAATTCTACAGTCGCCCAAGCCCTTCTTTTGTTGGGTGTGAACTTCCGGGATTCTATAATTCCTGAGCGCCAACATCCCCATAGGGATGCTTTCCAAAATTCCACACGGGGAAACCTCTTGAACTGGGGAGCCATTTCAAGACCATCCTCTTCCAAAGCCCCCCCTACCTTTTTGGTAGGGTGCCTCCTCGCCTTGTTTTGGTCTCTGGGTCTCTCCTTGTTTTGGACCCCCAAAATTTCCCTCGCATCGCATCGCAGCGCAGGGGGCGGTGTCCCAAGCGGAAGCGCAGGGCTGGATTTCTAACTCCAGCGAGACCTGGTTGGCTGGACATAGCCTCGGGGCCACCTGCGCCAACACCCTCTTCCAGGCGCGACCGCTTCTTTTCGGGTTTCGGTTTTTGGTTTCTTTTTCTTTTTAGGTTTCGTTTTTATGTTTTCCCCCCCTTTGTTTTCCGGTTTCGTTTTTTTGTTCTTCTTCTTTTATTGTGTGTTTTTTGCTTCTTCTTGGGTTTCGGTTTCGCCCATGAGATCGGAAGCGGTGGAATGAAGATCTGAGGCCCGGGAGTGTTTCTTCGTTCTTCTTTCGCATTTCAGCTAGCGGACTCGGCTTTGAATTTGTGAGCCAACCCTTGACGATGGAATTTGTGCGTTGCAACTGGTTGAGGTTGGATCTCCGAATTCTGTGCGAGTTATTTCTTGGTTTGTACTTCGGGGCCCCTTTTTCAAAAAAGGGTCGTGGAGACTCCAGGAAACCAGTGGGGTGGGTTTGGGGGGGAGTGTGCCTTTAAAACCAGCTGCTGAACCTGTTGAGCGCCTTCGAGCTTGCCATTTTCTGATGAAGCGCTTAAGCTAAGCGGCCAGATGTCGTTGAGACGTGGTGCCCCATGCGCCGAATCGCATAGTCAAATCTTCACTCAGGCGGGGCTTTCGGAAAAAAAACTTCCGCCTCGAGTTGTCCGAGACCCCAAACGTGGCGGTCGCCCAAACGTGCGGGCCAATGCGGGTGAACTTGTAGGCATGTTCATCCAAATGCCACCCCGTTTGTGCATCGTTTCTCTATGGGTAAATCTGCGAGGTACCAGCAGATCAGAGTACTGTTTATACCGGCAGATGTTGGCCAGCGTCGCTGCTGCCACGGATGCTACGCATAATCAATGCCGAGCGAAAAGCTGCGTAGGAGCCTCCATCAGCATCTAAATCAGCCGTTCAACCTCTGACTTCCCAGTTCTCACTTCCTGAGTTCCTGGACTTACTATGTTTAGTGAAACTCACAAAGTTTGGACTGTTTTTGTCCCATCTACTCAGGAAGTGAGAGTTTGGTGAAATCGACCCAAAATATTCCCCAGACTTGTTTGGGCAAGTGAGCCCTCGATGCTTGCCACTTCGAGCAGATATGCCAACCAGGGAAGACGATAGTGTCGAAGAAGCGCCTGGAAGGTAATTAGATTGGTGCGTGTCAACATGGGGGACCTTAAAATGCTGGTTGTTGGTTTGGCCTCCCTTTAAATCAATCTTAGGCAGTGGTACCCTAAAAACAAGAAGCTTATATTTAGGCAGTACCCTAAAAACAACCAGCTGAAATTTCGCAAAATGAGCTTACTAGGTGCAACTGCCAAGCACGGGCAAACTTCGATCGCTTAGCTGAGATGATTCCTGGAAATCCTGCTGCCTTGGGCTGATTTCCAGTGCATCGGTGACTAGATGCCAATGAGGGGAAGAAGCCCAACCCCAGCGGGAAGCGGATTCGGCTCAGAGCGGTTCTAAAAAATCGGGGTCCCCTTTTGTTTGCCCCCTTTTGCCTGGCAAGGAAATCCAACAGGAAAAGACAAAACCATTTCGAAGGGTTTAGAGGAAATTCCATGGAATGCCCACAGCTCATTGGTTGCACCTTGCGCCTGTGCAAAGGCCTACAGTTCAGCTTACTCTGGCCTCATCGTCATGGGTGGCTACGTGGATGAGACGGGAGCGAACCGTTCTGGCGGGAAGGTGGATTTTCAGCCGCTTCTCGTGAACAGAAGCCGGTCAAATACTGTGTCTTGCGGGTATGTGTGAAGCATTTTGAAACCACCGCAGTTTCACAGCCGCGCACGGATGCGTGGACGGTCAGGCGTCAGGGTCGATTTAGTCCATCAGGCAGTTGTGGTTCCTTGACAAAATGGTGCGACCACTTATTTCTTGTTTTAAGCAGTCTGATAGACCCGGTGGAATCATTTAGAGACTTTATGTCCACCACTTTTCAGGTGGTTCCCAATCTATGGCCAGACACCACCCACCGGAGACCCGCTCGTTCTGGTAGCTTATTGCGACACAAGACTGTTCTTGTAAAATAATGTGTTTGAGCCATTCTTTGCCGTTCGATGCTTCAAAAATCGCGCGGTCATTCCAAACACGTTCAGAGCAAGGCGAGCAATCGCCATTCTTGTTCATGTACTCGTTTGCGGATTATTGTGCTCGTTTTGTACCAATCATTTTGAAGGAGAAAACATAATATACAACAGCTGCTCAAAATGTGTATGGTCTGGCCGTTTTGTTGCAAAGGGTATGACCATGAAAGTGCCTCAGCAAGACACAGACGTGCGTTACGGGGAAGCTCCAGTGCGAAAGACTCTTGACAATATCAACAAATACCTTAAGGAAGTGGTTTTGCAACCCCCTGTGAACGTTCCTGTTTAAAGGGAGCCCTTATATTGTGTTGGCAGACTATCATCCAGCCAGCTTCACCCTCAGTCGGATGTGATTTTGGTAGATGCAAATGTAGGAAAGAGCAGTTTTCGGAGCATGTTACTTCCCACGGTTTGTTAATCCTTGCATGCCAACTACTGCGAAGAGAGATTCTGCGTGTGTCGTGATTGCAAATGTGTTGTTTTGATGGAGCGCTTTTAGCCCCTCTGATTGCTTGGGGTCAATGTACAACTTTCAAATTGTCGGGTTGCCGGAGAATCTCCAACTCGGGTTACCTTTGGGTCAACGCTTATTATTTTCTGAGATTCTCCTGTAACGATTGTTTGTTAGCCTTGGACGGCAAGCCTTGTGACCCGGTACCGAAGGGCGCAAGCATTGGGTCAGTACAGGCAACCGTGAAGGTCTAGTGTCGTAGTGCGTGGGGGCCCTTCTGCCGCAGGGACAATAGGGTTTAGTCAAATGCAGTTGATGAAGCAAACCCCCCCGATGGCAAAATTTCGCGCGCACTCCTTCTTGTTCCTGCATTTTCTGGCTTGTGTTTCCCAGACTCTCATTTGTTTTACTTGTTTGGGTTGCGTACCCTTTCAGGGTTGCTCCATTTGGAGACAAACCCAACTGGACTCATTTTCTGTTTGATTCGACTCTCATTCTGCAGGAGACCACGATTTGCTGCACTACCCAGTGCCCGCCGGATGCTCAAATTGCCTTTGGATTCAGGTGGTTGCTTGCATGCGCAGTACGGAACATGAGGGGGGGATGCCAAGAGGCAGTTGTAGTTTTTCGTTTTTTTTTTGGGGGGGGGTGAAAACTGGAATACTTGTTGAATCTAGAAAAAGCCCAGACCTCTAGTGGTACACGTCCTTTCTTTGACGGGGCCCGGTTTGCCAGTGTCGAGTACCAAAGTTTGTCCAGAGAAGCTTGGATCTCCCAAGTCGTAATGTATAAGCTGCTCACAGCAGGAAAACCGTTGCAACACGGAAACCTACATGAGTTTGTTTTTCCCATGAGCAGCAGGGTGATCTGCTTGCATGTTCCAGCGCTCATATTCATACATCCTGTTTGTTTTTTAGCTTTAGCTGGAATGTGGACCTGAGCACGACGGGAGCTTGCTTACCCTTGTCCAAGGCTTTCTTCAGTTTCAATATTTCGGCTGGAAGGCCATGATGGTGACAGCCTGCGGCTGCCTTCGTTGCTATTCTTCCATTCGATGTCGAACAACATCTCGGCTGGGACGTTTGGTCATCCGGAACTCTGCCACAAACCGTGCCTTTTCCTGCACTTGGGCGCGTGTCCGCGCTCATCTGCCTGCAACTTGGCTCATACAGCCTGTCACGTTGGGATTTTGGAGGATGCTAACCTGTACCCTTTGATTCGGCCGTTTGGAGAACTACTATGGCGCCTAGCACAACTCTATGGCTACCTTCCCCATTCTTTCCAGGGATCCTTCTTTTCAGGACACCATCAAAAACCCAGGGAAGCAGCTGGTTTTTGAAAAGAACAATGGTTTAAAATAATGGAAAAGGAATCACACCCTAGAACAACAGGCACTTCCGGCAAGGCAAAAAAGCCCCGCCGGTCCAAAAACGCCAGGTGACTACTGCCACGGACACCACGAGGGCCGACAGCGGCTGACCGCGCAGCACCGGAACGATCTGCTGGCGCTGGGGGAGGCAGACTTGATGGCGCTGGTGCTGCCCCATCTCCGGGCCAAGAAGATGCCGCTGCAAGAGGCGCAAGAGGCGGAAGCAAGCGCCAAAATGGGGCGGACTAGGTCTTTCTATGACTAGGCTCCCCCAGTGCCAACTTTAAGCCCTTTTTTGGTTGGGAGGGTTCCCCGACTAAAACGGACTACACAAAAAGGGTACCCTTTATTCTAACCCCTCTACCGGAAGACCTAGATGAGTCTTCCCCTTGGTCAGATGGTTTTGGCGGTGAATTGGTCAGGAGAATAGATGCCACGCAAGACAGGCAAGGCATTAAATCCTAAGGATTGGGTGAGCCTCTATTCACTACCTTACATTCCTTTCCCTTCATTTCCCTTCCGAATTAACTTTCAATCAATGGGATTATGATGAGAGGGAAAGAGAAAGTGTATGTCATCCCATTCTGCCCAGGTAAGAATTAATTGGTCTGTCTAGGATTTACGACCTGCCTTCAGCTGTCATGTCGTGTGTCCTTGCATATCTATATCTTGTTCCCCTTTATTTTCGTGCATTTTGATGGGGAAAAAGAAATGTCCCTTCGCTCTACCAGTTCGCTCGCCTAAGGGAAGAAGCGAGGCTCATCTCTTCACTTCCGCTCTCTCACTTTGTTCTTTTGGTGAGTCTCAGAGATGAAAGGGATGGCATGCCTTGTCTCCTTCCCGCCTCGTCTCCTCGCCGCTCACGGACAAGAATAGGATGGAGGCGACAGACAGGAATCTTCAATTGTCGCCGGGTAATAAAGAAGGAATGGAGCGGCAGTAAGAGATAGGACTGGCCGCAGCTTTAGGAAGGCTTATGAAGAGATACCACTGCCGCCTCCCTTCACTCGTCCATTCCCTGCGATCTAATCCTCGTTCGTTCGTTGTCCTCGTTCACTCACTCCCTGCCGTGCATTTTCGTTCTCCTCTAGTTCTCAAACTCTTCCTCGCCCACAGCCCCCCCCCCCTCATTTTTTGGGGTTCTTGCATTTTAAGCTCAGCCCAACCCCGGAGGACCCATTTTATTTGACAGCTGCCAATCGAAAGATGCCAATCGAGCCCATTGGCTAGGTTCACGGGGGTCGAAAGGTGCCTTCGGAAACGCGACGTTGAGTTAATGTAGCTGAAGTAGGAAGCATCCTTTCGGCGGTCAGATGTCAACCGGCAGGGCACCTGAGCGGGTTCGGTTGCTCAGACGGGTGGAAATGAGTCCACTTGTATTCCAATAGAGTTATGGCTGGCGCACGGCCAACCTGATGTTGGAAGAGGAAGAAGAGAGGCCGTGTTCCAATGGAAGGTCGGCTTTAGGCGGAGGTTGCCTTCAAATCCCAAAAGAGACCTTGTGAGGTTCTCGCCGGAGCAGCACTTGGCAAGCTTGCCAATGCCAGCCAGACCTCACCTGACGCAGAGGCAGATCATCAACTTGAATCGCCGCCTCGGCAATCTCAATTTTCGGCTGCTGCTTGGTTTGCTCCCTTGCTGGCAGCTCCAACCTATTCAAGAGGCCACCGCGGCGCTGCAGCTACAGATTGCGCTGCAAGAGCCTGCCATGTTCAATGGATACTTCTCCTTGTGATGTGCCCGAAGCAATCGGCCGTAACCAGTCCAATTGCTTGCTACCTTTCCTTGAAGCTTGCCCCATTGAGGGTTCGGCGCGAATGTCAGGCATCTTGAGGCACAGCCTGCTCCGGTGGGTTTTCTGCCATTGCAGGAATCCGGAACCGGCAAGGTGCGAAGCCGGGCAAGCCCAAGGCACCCGGTCTCTTTTTGAAACCTAACCGACTGTGGTTTGCTTTGCAACACCCATGAAGAGCATGCCGTCAGGAGGTGTGTGCGTGAAATATAGCAATTCGGCGTGCCTTCTTTCCCAGATGTCAACGGCCGTCCACCACTCCACTGGGGGCTTATGGCACCCATGGCGACAGTGTGGTTTGTGTGTTTTCGTGACATCTCAACATGTCCATCGCGCCAGTCTGCCTTCGGCTGTGTGGTTTTGGATTTTTTGGCTGATCCGTGTTGTTTTTATCTCAGTGACTTGTTTTTTTTCAAGGCAAGGCGCTGAAGAACTCGATGCACTCTTTGCTTCACATGCTTGAAGACAAAGGTTGCACGCCCTGGTCTGTTGGGTGGGAAGATGGGGTATGTCCAGAAAATCCCTTCGGCTTGTTGCCAATGTCGTGACTTGGCGCATCACTTTAAGTAGAGTCAGGACGAGCGTTAGTCCCTCTTTTACAAGTGGATGGGAAATCAAGGTTGTTTGGAAGATTGTTCCAGGGGTTGATTCCCTCCGTTTCCACAATCATTGTTTTCCACCACCGGACCAACCAGAGGCCCTTTCCACAAAGAAGGATCCCTGGGAATCATGGTGGCTTACGCATGTTGACGGTCCGTGGAGTATTGGTTCACCTTGAAAGGGGATAGCCCCATCCTGGCGGTTCAGGACCGTGGCTTTGAATACAAAGAGTGGCTGAGAAACACCCATCAAATTGAATTCATTGGATCGGCCCCTCTAGTCGGTGGCAGATCTTTCGCCCTGATACCAGCTACCCTTCCACCAACTAACATGGAAATGCACAAACCCCCTTTCCAAGACGAAAGTAGTCTTTCAGTCTTCCTACAATTAATCTGTGCACGTTGGTGGTAGGGTACCACGCGTGAGACTTATCTCTTCCTTTTCCTCTTCGATTAAGCGTTTGCCCGAGCTCAAAAAAAAACCTAAGGGCACCCGGTGCCCGTTCTACCCCATGCAATCAACGGCCAACGGCCGAGGCTGAGTTTTTTTAATATTATTATTATTATTATCTGTGAACCGCTTGGTATCTCTACTTGATTGCTTCACAAGTAGAATCAATGTTTGCTTAAGTCTGATGGAAGCCATAGGGTCATAAATGTGTGGACCCTGTGTGTATATATTTATACATAATATATAAATATATATATATATATATATATATTATATTGGTCACCCCCCGAAAGAGAATATTGATTGTTTGTTTATTCAAGGAAGTTAAGGTATATATATATATATGTATATATTTGGTCACTACGGCACCCGGCTGTTTAGTCGCACCATGTTTGCCTTTGTGTTTAGCGGGGTTCCCCACTAGAACTAACTGATCAAGCCAGACAAGGGGTTCCCTCTACTGGGTTGCAACTGGGACTTCTTGTTCTTTGGAGATATTGCTGATGACTTTCTTCAGAGGATTTCTCTTCGGTACTTGGACTCACCCATCGCATCGACGGCGTGTTGTTTGTGTGTGTGTGTGTCGTCAATTGTTTTTTCCGGTTGCAACTGGGAGGTTGCTGCTTTTACACTAAAGCGCAACCTGTTCCACACGAGGTGTGCCAAGCACTTTAAGATGAGCTGTGTCCTTGATCTTCCAGGGCCCTGGAAAAACAGGCCTTTGGCCGAATCTCCACTTGGAGCCAAGATCAAAATCAAGAAGGGCCCCTGGTTTTGTGGGTCCTTGGGAGCTTCCAAGGTATTTCTTTGCCGCTTGGCAACTGTCCCAAATTGAGATTGTGCTTCAAGTTCCCCCCGGCTCGAATTCGGGCCCTGCCTTCCGACCGACCGTCTTATGTAAGCCCGAGGTGGGAGGCCCCACAAATTTACGGCCCGCAAAGGAACCACCCGCGAATCTACCGTGTTTTCCCCATTTGGTTGAGTATCTTTGTTTACTTGCAATATTGAGTTGGCATCCACCATGCTTGCCAGAACCAGGGTTTTATGTGAGTTCCGTCCATCCCTTCCCCCCCCTCCTTTCTGCATGCTTTTAACATAGCTTCCATTTGCCTGAGAATTTGTGTTATTTTCGTTGGCTTCTAAAGGAGATCATCACTACTGGACATATGTTGTTGTGTTTTCCAGGGGTCCAAACCAAATGGAAGATAGGGAGCATGGCCTGGTTGCTTCTCCCGCCGGCAAGCCGAAGCAACTCGACCTCAGGTCCTCACGCTGAACGTGGAGCTGGACGGCGGCCTCGCGCGCCCTGGGAAGATCTCCACCTGGTGGCGCCAGTTCCTCACGCTGCGCCACGGCTTCCTGAGCGCAGTTTGCCAAGGGATGTTATAGCCACTTGAAACCTTTTCGCCAACGAATGAAGCGGTTTTGCATTAAACCACGAAATCCATTCGCACCACGAAATGAATCCCATGGGTTGAAACCATGACGTTTGTTGGTATCTAACTGGGGAATCGAATCATTCCGTTGGGTTTCTTAGATGGTGCGAAATGGATTTCGCAACCACAGTATGGCCGAGATCGAGTTGCTTCCCTGCTGTTCGGAGTTTCTGGTGGCTTTTTGGGGCGTCTCCTCAATTATTTTGGTTTAAACGAAATGCGATGCATGGTTTAATTAACTGGGAAGCGGACAATCTCAGCCCCAAGCAGATCCCGTTATTTTCTCCCTTTTTGTGTGGCTTCCCTGTGAAACCTTTTGCTAGAGCGAATTCCGAGCAGAGGCTCAGTTGTTCAGTGGCACTAATTCCCCTTGGTTCCCTTTCAAAAGGATGACCCTTTGTGTACAAGGGTCGCTCAGAGGAAACTTGTAGAACCCACACGGTCGCATCCCAAAAGTACATGTTTTTGTTTTTCTGAAAGGTTGGATCTCTCCAAAGGTGTTGAGCTAGGGTTCAAACTGCAGGGAGGACTGCCACACATCGCTTCAACATATATACACCTATTGAGGCATAGTAACTATGAAGCAGGGTTCCAACATATATTTTTGGAGTGCCAAGTGACGGAAGCGTTTGAAAGAGCCAACCTGTCCGCTAGATCCCCACCTCTGCCTGGACAAGCGGTGTGTGGGGAAGGGAAAAAAAGGTCCGGTGGCGAAAAGAGTTCCCTTGTTCGGGGGTTTATTCCAGTTACTGTTTTGAGGGATTCTCAAGAATGCGTTTGGAGTTGTTTCTTTAAACCCAATTGACTCCAAGCATTGATTTTGAAGATGTCACTTTGGACCCAGTTGTTCCCTCACATGTGAGTCATAGCCCTTTGTGTTTCTTGCTTTTGCTTGTTCTTTGTTTAAACGGGGTGGTCAGTTTCCCTCTTATTTGTTGGGGTTGCTTAAAAACAGACCCCTGTTTCCTTCTTTGTGCAGAGTTTGGGGGGTTGAATTAACATGTGTCCGTGTTGTGTTTTTTTTTCCTGGTAGGCTGGGCCCATGATGCCCTCACAGTGGGGGGTTGGGTTTCCAGGGCTCGTTGGCTACGGTTGCTGCCAGGAAAGGCTCCTTGTTCCCTCGTTTTGTGTTAAAACCCTCTAGGCCCCGTGCCGAAATTGGGTAGCTGTTCTGAGGTCCTTGTTGGTGTTGCTTCCCAAGTTCCATTGATCGCCATTTGGCTCAAGACACAATTGAGGTTCAAGATCTGATGTGTGACTGCAGACCTACGTGATCGGCATTAAGAGCAAAACAACTGCTTGCGCCGCATTGTCAGGACTACTGTTGTAACTATCATTCCTTCTCCCTTACAACGTTTACACGGGTTCGGCTATAACGGCATCGTCCGTATACACCTTTCTACGTGGTTGGTATTAAAGCTTGAGGGTTCGGTGCACAGCGTCCCACGGGACGTCACCTTGCCGTCTCTTGACAGGTTATCAGCCGTAACTACAAGCTCTACACTGGACTGGGAGACAGCTGGTTTATTGCGGGTACAGGGACAATAAAGGAACGATAACATACACAGTACAATGGCGTCTTCGGCGAGCCCAAGTACTGCAACTTTTGGGAACAGCAGCTCAGAGGGATCCAATGGATTGATGGCTCTTCCTGCGGTGATGGATATGATTGCAGATTCACAGGATGAACCTGGGAGCGGAGGTTCCGCGCTATTCAGCGACATATCTACTCCCACAAGATCATGGAAGCAGATCGATGTTCATCAGGAGTCGAAGAAAAGAGAATCCCCACCGAGAAGATCATCATCTTCGCCTGCGACACCACGGACGTCGCAGAAGGGCGTGAGATCGACATCGAAGGGTGGGAGGTCAAAATCACCCACCAGTGCAGATTTTCGCGCCGTGATCAAAGAGAAGAATAAGATGGAGGTGGAGATCGGGGAATATCAAAAGACACTTGATGAAATGTCGGCAGCAATGGCGAATCTTAACCAAGAAGACTATGGAAGCACCATCCGGATCCAGGAGCTGGAAAGACGATGCGAGATTGCCAGCAAGCAGTCGGGACATCTAGTGAGTCACCACCAACACCACATGGCTGAGGCATGGCGCAAGTTTGAGGAAGAAGCCCAACAGATGCGCAAGGTGGAAATGAACGCATTTCAGTACGGGGAGAAGAAAGACATGGAGTCGAATATTATGATGCAACAGATGAGGCAAGCTGAAGGAACTATCATGGAGCAGAAGCGGGAGATTGCATTGATGAGATCCTACATGGCAAGCGAGAAGTCGGCCGCGCAGGAATCAGCTATACGTGCAAATCAGATACACCGTGAGGCTTCACAACAGATATCAGTTTATCAGCAACAGATCAGAGGCATAGAATCTTCTACATCTATCGAGAAGTTCAACGAGGAGGAGATGGTCCAAAGTCTGAAATCACAGTTGGAGCATGCACTCGTCAAGCGCCCCGAGACGTACTCTTTGGAGGACTCCAGGGAACAGCTGATGACGAGGCTGAATGACGTTACAGTATTTGCGGAACAGGAATCGAAGAGAGCAGATTGCTTGCTTCGCGAAAAAGAAGAGATCGTCAAACAGTATGAGTCCGACGTGTCGATGAAGGACCAGATGATTGCTGTCGAAGGTGGTCATCGTCAGGATGCGATCTTGGAGTTAGCCCAGGTCAAAGAAGAGAAACAAGAGGAACGGTGCACGATGGACGAGAAGTCGAAGGAGGCTGAGTACTGGAGATTGACAGCTAAGGGAATGTACGATGAGTACCTCGAGGAGATGCATGAGCTTCAGGGACAACTGAAGGAAAGAGAGGCGACGCTCAAGCAAGAAGAGAGTTTTGTACGCCAACTCGATGCTGACAACGAGGAACTACGTGCACACAAGAAGCTGGAGACGCAGGAAGCCTCCAGCAGCAAAGATGGACATCGTGAACGAGCAGTAGTGAAACGCGCTGAGGGAGGAACCCAGGCTAATTCGAATAGGATAGACAAGAAGGTGGCTGGGTCAGTCCCGTCATCGTCTTCAAATCAAATCCCTAATTCGTCGCTGATGCCAGGTTCGATCCTCTTTCCGTCTTTCGGTGATCCAATGATCGATGTACACCTATCCCAGATGCAAGGGGTTGTTGGGCATGTCCCACAATCCACTACTACGACTGGTGGTGGTGATGGAGGGGGAAACAACGGTACTACGCCCCCATTGGATTACGGTGGATTCCCGCCCAATGGGAATGGGCAGGGAGCGGGTCGACGTCAGTTGAGCCTCGCTGGTGGCGGAGGAGGACCTCCGGATGATCCACCCGATGATGAGGATGAGGATGACGACGACGAAGGAGATGAGGAAGACGAGGAAGAAGAAGAGGAAGAAGACGATCGGACACGGAGGAGACGAAGGAGATCGAGAGATAACCGAGAGATCAAGAATGATCGACCGAGAATCTCGAGGAAAGAGGCCGAGAGAGTATCTATTCCGGCCTGGCCAAAGATCCATCAACTTGACACCTGGAAGATGCAACTGCTGATGAATGTTCTGAGCGCATGTGCAGATCCAGATACCGACGCATGGACGAAATGGCTGGAGCAGGCTCTTGGGTTGAACCCAGACCTGGATTTGCTTAGCGATTCAGGTGGCGACAGATTTGCTACGATAGATATTAAGATGGCCATGGGCATGCAGAACATGCTGAAACAAGCACCTGACGAAGCCAAGGACGTATACCTCGATGCTACACGACACTCTGAACTACGACATCAACAAGGGGTGATCGTGAAGGGACGAGAGTTGGTGGCATTAGTTATGCAATCATTCAGAACTTCCGATAGAACGGATCTTGTCTACCACATCGAGCATCTATTCAACCTTGACTTTCCTGGCGACAAGAACTTGGTCATGTTCAGGAACAAATGGTATGATTTGCTGCTGAAGATGAGGAGCGAGGACAGACCCAGTAAGCTGGCTCTCAGAGACATCCTTTACAGGAAGATCAAAGGGAGCAAGAAGATGGAGTTCGGCCTCAATGCCTACCATAGACTACCGGACAAGCATCCTCAGAAGACGTATGAATTCTTATTGGCGTTGATCGACTATCAGATCAAGGCAGATCGGGAAGACCTGATGCTCGACATGAAGGAGAAATCGGTCAAGTCGATGATGAAGTCAGGCGGGAAGGATGCGGCTCCAGCAACTGGCAAACAGGAGAACCAGGGTGGCAAGGGCAGAAAGGGGAAACCCGGTGGACCTGATGCCGCTCCTGTGCTCCCAAAAGCCAAGGCAAAGGGCCACGCTGGCAAGAACGGCAAGTCCGACGGTGCCAGCGACAGAGGCAAGAGTCCGGGCGGAAGCAAGGATAACCCCTGCTGGTACCACTTCAAATCGGCGAAGGGGTGCGTGAAAGGGAATGAATGCACTTTTTCCCACAGCAAGAAGACGGAGCACAAGTTGGAGAGCATGTCCAAGGGGAAAGGAAAGGGCAAATCCAAGTCCAGATCATCGTCACCAAAGAGAGATGATGGAGCATGCTTCGCGTTTCAGAAGGGGAAGTGCGATAGGGGAAGCGCTTGCAAGTACAGGCATGAGCTCATCAAGAACAATTCAGCTCCAGCAACGTCAAATGACAAGGCGCAAGCCAAGTCGAAGGCTGCCGCCAAAGCCGCAGCGCCTGCCATTGCGAGGAGGGCCATCGCAATGCCCGCGATAGTCCTGAAGCAATCGGCTCCTGCAGGGAAGGTAAGCTTCAAGAAGGACGTTGATCAGGTCGAACCGGACGAAGCCGAGACTGTCTACCACGAGCACGATGACGACGCGATGAGCGAATCATCGAGATGGTCTGGCGAGTCCGAGATCCCCGAGAAAATGGTGTGGTTCAAGGAAGTGCTCGACGTCGACGAGAATGGGGAGATCACCTACCTCGAAGACGAGAGAAGGCAATGGGAACGA